TACTAGATTGCAGAGTAGGTTAATATAAGCAAAAAGCTCCATTGCTGTGTAGAAGACAAAGCCAAGAGAAATCTAGGGTGAAATTCAACATCTTGCTATTGCAAACATTCTGTCTCCACAAGTATATCAGCTGGCCAGAGAGAACAATCCCCCCTCCCCATATGCTATTCTGGGTTCTTCTTACCCTCCCCCCAGCCAATTTCACAGTGGGAATAGTGGGAGGAAAGCCCCGTTGCAGAGGCCTTCAACTGATGGGGTTTGTTAGGTAAATCCTGCCCCCCGATATTTGGGCAATCTTCAGTGGTTCCAATGTTTGGTGACTTGGAAGCATTTATTCTCCATGACATTTTGGTGCCATTCCACTAGTTCAATTCAAGAGACAAAGGAGAAATACAATATTATATTCAATTAACAGTGTTCTCTGCTTTTTGATTTCAACCATTTTGCTAGGAATGTCAAGTTTCTTTGAGACGACAGGAAAGATGACCCAGTATTGAGAGTGTCCAGGGGGCATGAGGAGACATAATTTTTCCTTGTAGATAGTAACTCCCTAGGGAACAAAGGCTGCTGGTGTATCACAGGGTCCAATCACAAGAGTTCAGGTTGCCTTTTGTGGGTTTTTTGTGGGGTGGGTTGAATTGACTGGCTTATTTCTTTTTTAAAAAAAACCTTCATGATTATAGTGTCAATAATTGTATAGTGTATAGTTGTCCTGTACCATTGGGTTAATTGATTTGGAGGGTTGAGGATTTGATGAAATTCTCCAACCCTTTTGTTTATTTAGAAACTCAGAGATGGGGAACCTGTAGCCCTCTAGATGTTTTTGGACTCCAGCTCCCAATAGCCCCAGCCAGCATGGCTAATGGTCAAGGATAATAGCTGTTTTAGTCTAGGAAAACCAGGAAGGCCTCAGGTTCATACTCTGCCCTCAGTTAGATAGACTAAGTACAGATTATCTCCTGTTTTGGCCCATTGTCTGCATGAAGAAAGAGGTTTTCTGAGGAGAGCATGAGCTGGGACCTAATTTTTCAAAGTAGATGTGCATCCATACCTTCTCCTTCAGGATTTTCTTTTCAAACAAAAATGCAGGAAAACAGACTCCATGCAGGAATAAGAACTTGCCCTTAAGGGAACCCAGGGTCCATTGGCCACATTAGAATGGGCCCAGTTAACATTTCGATCACACAGGTTGAAGAACACTGCTCATTAGTCAAGAGGTTATGTGACCTCAAATTGTTATTCTTTTGATTCAGAAAAGTGCAAATTGTAAGCACTAAAACAATGGACATTTTGTATTTTCTGGTGGCAGACAATGTGCCACAAAGAAAGACTTAATCTTCCTCTATCTCAATCTGTCATCCACCCATCCATCCCTTCTTCTTGTTTCTTCTTCACCCTCGAATCCATTTTTTACCCGCTATCAAAAAGATGGTTGTGGTGTCATTGGGGTGACCCACCTTTGATCAAATCTGAGTCCAGCTTTGAGCACAATCTACCAGCCAACAACCAAACACTAATGCTGGTAGGAAGGAGGGAGATGGGCATTTAAAGCTGACAAGATTTCTAATTCCAAACCTTCTGCTCCCATTCCTCCCCCTCCATCCCATCTATGTGCCTGATAATCCTCCTGACACAGCCTAAATGGAGAAGCAGTTGCCATTCCACCTTGGTGAAATGAGAAACACAAATGAAGTGCAGTTTGGTGCTAGAGCAGGGGCTTGACTCACTGATACAGTGTTTAACATGCTGCCGAGGTATTTAGAATAGAACCGCTTGCTACCATTTTAAGAAGACAGTTTATTCATCTAAACGGCAAGCGTATGTAGAAGAGGGTCTGAGATTGACGTCTTTGGGATTAGTTTAGCCCTGCATTTTTTCTGGAGGTCGTTGTCATGGTGCTCAGGAGGTTTGTCGAATAAATGGGGCCAGCGTTCTTCTTGGGACCACATGCTAAAAACTAATACATAACGTTTAATTTACTGTCTCCGTAGCTAGCCCAGCCATTTTTCAGATAATAATATTGGATTAGAGCGACTTGCAAGGGTGGATGGGAGTGGGCAGGCAGGCATGTGGGGGCTGATGAGGAGCAATGAGAGTCGTTGTTGAGGTTCCTTGAAGCAGAGTCGATGGCTTGTGCACTTTTATTTCTTCACAGAAGCAAATTGAAAAGGGAAGTATCTTTAACTCCTGCGATCAGGGTGTTACATGCAATCTGAGAAAGAAGGCAAGGGTTTACATTGCAACCAGAGCCCTCCCTGATGTCAAAATATTGTATCTAGCCTATTATGATATGGGGAGAAGGATCCCATCCTTTAGCTTCAAATTTTATTTTGCTATCTTGGCCCTTTCTGATACAAAGATGGTCACATGTTTGCAAGGTGGGTACTTCTCTGAAAATTGTTTCTTGCTGCAGTTAGAAGACCAGGGTATTTGTTCCTCAAATGGTTGGTTCGTATAGGATTTTATAAACATTGTTTTATTTGCCTATTTATTTAATAAACTTACACCCCTCTTTTACAAATAAATTATAATAAAGTACATGATCACAAAACACAAGGAAACATCAGTTAAAACAGCAAAACAGTAACAGTTTTCACCCCCTGCCAAAGTGACCACTCCATTATCTCAAAAGACAGGGGCTTTCAGCTGTCACAAACTTATTTGGGTTTAAAGTGTCTGTGTATATGACTAATCTGAGCTGAAGTTGAATCAGTCAAGATTATAAATCCAAACCCAACTATAAGGCTGTGGTAAGTTTAGTGAGGAGCTGTTGGTTGGTTTTTGCACATTACACACCAGCCCAGAAAAGTTAATGTAATTGGGTTGGCAAATTTCCTAGAAAATAGGCTAATAGCCACTGACATGCAAATATATGCACACTTTAAGTTGTTCATTACTTAGCTGAGCTTATTTTACAGAGCTCAGATGGTTTGGAGTGGGTGGGCACCTTGCCTGGGGTCACCACTGGGGATGGGAGATAATCCAGTGGCAACAGAGAAGTGGGTGATATGACGCTAGGCTGGTTCAGAAAGGCTTTGCTTTTTAAAAAAATAGTGGCCTGAATAGAGAGTTAGACTTAGAGAGTTATCAGCTGGATTAATGGGAAAGAGAAGAAGACTATTTCAAGTATAACAAGCAGCATGGTAATTACACAAAAATGGAAGTCACATGAGACAACCTGTTTGTTTGTTTGTTTGTTTGTTTGTTTGTTTGACAATTCTTTGCTCCCCTAAAGGGCAGCTGAGGAACTATAGGATTGGTAGAAGGGCCACAATGCTAACAGAGAGGGAGTCCAGTCAGAAAGCTCCACCAATAACACTGTCCCACTGACAGTATTTTGTGAATGATGAAGACCAAAGCAGGACGTGATCAAAGGTAGCAGGGGAGGGTGTAGATCCACAGGATACTAAGCTCCATCATTATCTTGACATATCCCGAAAGAAAGAAAGAAAGAAAGAAAGAAAGAAAGAAAGAAAGAAAGAAAGAAAGAAAGAGTTCCTGAAATGTGAGCTTCACCTGCTCACCTGCCATTTGTCAGTGACCACTGGTTTTTTGGGGGGCGGGGGCTGCACTCCACCTGAAAATGAGAACATTTGCACAAATGACAAAGCATATGCAAATATATGCAAATGGGTGGAGAGTCAAATCAACATATAGTGAGCCCAGAAAATCCTGTTAGCATCCCCGATCTCAGTAAATGAACCTCCTTAAAATATTGTCAAAGTGCTCTATCATTTCCCATAAATCTTTTTTGTGCATGGAATTTATACCTCTGCCATTGCTCTGAAGTTTGCACAGTACTGATAACCTTCACAATTTCAAGTAAACTGCTGACCATTTTGCCTGCATAGCTTGTGGTAAAAGAAAGGAAATGTCTGTGTTATTTGGGATATTTCTCAGATTAACAGGAAATCCTATAATTAGAAAAAGGTTTAATAATATACTAATATTTATAATTACTGAATGGATCTATGCAGTTGAATAGTGTTTGGCACCAAATGCTTCTTCTGATTGTGCATTACTGCTTTTATGTCTTTTTGTTTGAGTACGTTTTCTGAGAGATTTTCATGCACGTTAAAAGTTAGCGGTGCAACTGAGGTGCTTTCGCTTGTATCCCTGTTTAAACCCTCAGATAGTATTTCAGTGGCTAAGAAAATGCAAATAAAAAAGTTTTCTTTAACAAAAGCAATATTTAGCATGGGCTTATTAGGGAGCCTCATATGTGGTCATTTGACCAAGGCACTGCTCACCTTTATCCTATGAATTTTTGGTGGCATCTTTCTTGTCCAGGTGCAGAGATAGTATTGCACATTCTTTTATAATCCCAGGTGATGTATACTTTACCTGAATGTATAATTATGTAGTTTCCCAATGTGTATGCCAGTGATACTGGAATGGAGATGATGGGGGAACATTATTTCATACAGTGCCTTTCACTTAACCGAACAATTCCAAGTTGCTGTCTTTACTTTTTCCAAATCATCTCTCTTTGCCTAATGGGCAGTGGTTCCTGCAAGATGTAGTTGTGTACTGGTGTTTCTATGTCATGACTGCCAGTGTTGTTCTTCAAAGACAAGAGAGATACAAAGCTAAATATTACAGCTGCCTCTGCCACTAACACAAACTTAGGAGCACAATGGAGGACAGAGGAGGGGCAATGCTCATGCATCCATTCCTAACCATAGGCACTGTATGCAAGCCACCACACAAGGCCCAGAAATGATATTCTTGTTTGTCCCATACTGGGTGACAGGTTTGGCATGAACAGGTGAATATTTAGCTCTCTTAATGACTTCCTGCTTCATTCTCAAAAGCCTTCTCAAGAGTTATGTCCATCTAACTTAGAAGATGTCCCTCTTTATAGCTGGTTGTTGGTGATCATCTTTTCTTAATTAGCATTTTTTGCTATTACATATCACACATCCTTCTACGCTTCCTCTTGAGAACAAGGAACACTTTGCATTGTTAACTGCTTCTCCCTTTCTCCGCTTCTTCCACAGTCAATTTTGTTGTCAGCCTCAATCAAGCGAGAAGGAGACTCTCCAACGGCATCACCTCACTCCTCAGATGATATCCATCACTCAGACAGATACCAGGTGAGAGAGCAACCAGGAGGACTCAGCTGATGACTGGAAACCAGGAGTTACTAAGTGCCACTACTAGTTCTTTCAGTGCTGCCATTCAAGTCCTTAACTTTTTAGCCTTTTATGTTTTTCAGGGATTATAATATCCCACTTGTTTAATGCATATGTCCTTGCATCTGGGAAATCTTGCCAAAAAAAGTACTATGGTCTACAAATGTTAAATAATACCCTTAACAGGTTTGCACCCAGTATAGCTTTCTGGTTCCTAATGCTTCTTGGTGCATCATGGCATAAAATACAGTTGTTAAGTATTTAATAAATAATAATAATAATAATAATAATAATAATAATAATAATAATACCCCACCCATCTCTATTTATACCCCACCCACTCTGGGCGGCTTACAGCATATCTAAAAACCATAAAAGCTCACAGTACAGGGCTGCCTTCAGATGTCTTCTAAAAGTTGTCTTCTAAAAGTTATCTCCTTGACATCTGAAGGGAGGGCGTTCCGCAGGGAGAGTGCCACTACTGAGAAGGCCCTCTGCCTGGTACCCTGTAACTATTATTGAATAACGTTAGTTTTAATTTTGATATTACTGTATTTTGCAAATGGATGGAAAATAGGACTAGGCATAATGCCCCAATTAGCCAGAAACAAGTCACCACCAGTGGGACTCCATTCTGAAAATCATGTAAATGGAATTTGCAGGGGTAAAAAGTGTTGTAGCCTTGTCAAGTTTATTGGTCAGTAAGTTTTGTATAGTTTATTAAGGTGTGAACACAAAGGTTATCTGCTGTACTGTGTCCAAAGCCAATAGAAGGTCACTGTACAACTACAGTTCCTATTAGTCTGAAGTATGCGCACGCACACATTATGGGGTGCTGCCCATCATCTCCATGGGTATATGGGCTGTACTACTAATTGGAATGCAGCCAGTGCATAATTGTGCTAATGAATCAGTAGTGGTCTGAGGCTGGGATGAACGTTTGTGTCTATTGTATGACTAATATATCTAGCATTATATGCCTTTTCTTAATTGTTAGTAGCTCCGGCCATAGTCATAGTTTATATAGTTCAGACTATGCCAGAGATATGAAGTGTTCACACTCTGTACTTTCTGCTAGTTCATGCTCTCAAAAATGAATCAACACTGTTCTGAATATTGTCAAATACAGATAAACATTGCTAATAGTATTCTTCTGTATGCAGTAAGTGATCCCAGTTTGCATTTGATGGCTTTACTTTTCACAACAGGCACTTCATGGAGACTCATAAATTTTTGATGGAGAGGCAAATGGGAATTATAGTTTGCTTTTATAGGGTAGAAGACCGGAGGATGATCCTTTTTTGTATTTTTTACTGCTCTAGAATTTGCAGGCCGGAGTAGTACAAAGCAACTCCAGTGAATAACTAGAATATGACTAGGGAAATACACAGGCATCAGAGATAAATCTCCTCTGGGAGCTAATCCAATGGGCTTTATGCAAATAAAATAAAATTCTCCCCTTGATTCCAAGAGCTGCAAGCTGAGCTTTTCACATACTGGATGTGTGCCCTGATTATATATTTCTTTAAAACTGCAGTGCTGGTAATTTTGCATTGCAAGTTCTTTATGGCATTTATGATCTGCTAGGAAATATACTGTATATATTAGTGAGAGATTGGGAAGCAAACTTTTGCTTATGAGGTTGTTCTGAAGGAAATTTCACAAAGTTTGCACTGATAAGCTCTGTTGGTGGCTTAGCAAGGACAGAAACAGTTCACCATTTAGCCCATAGTGATCACATGAAAACTTAACCTGATGCACCTGCAATTGCATGGGGGAGCTCTCTGTGATAAAGCAAATACCGGTATTTCCACATCCCTGCTACCAGTGATATGTAGAGAACATATATTTTATGTGGATAAATGGTGCAGTCAGCTGCCATGAGGTTACAAAAGGTAGGTGCAGATTACCATTTACTATGTAATTGCCACTTGCAAACACTACGGCATGCATGCAAGTGGCAATTACATAGTAAATGGTAATCTGCACCTACCTTTTGTAAAGCATCAACAGAGCTGTCCTGTCCAAGCTTTCTAAAATTCCTTACAGAATAACCACATGAACCACAGCCATACATCTAGAGCTGTCAGAACTGGGCCATGGGTTGTGGTCTGGAGTTGGGAACATGGAGTCAGGACCCAAGGGAAGTGAGAAGGCAGGGTCAGAGAATAAAGACTGAATAGCAATTAGTACCAGAGGTGAAATCAGAAGACAGGACTCAGGAACATAGAGTAATAAGGATCAGCGGACAAAAAACCAACGCAGAGCCAGTAGGAGTCAGGACCATAGTAAAATCAGGATCAGAGGGTAAACCAGAAGGCAGAACTAGGATACCTCCACATGACCTGTTTATTGAACATTCATCCTTGTTTTACTCTAAGTTGCTACTGGAAGGATTTGCATTGTTATATGGCTTCCCGTCAATCATTTCCAACACTTTCTAGTGTATTGCCTCATCACTTTCTGCACCACAAAAAGTCCTTTTTCTAAAGGCGGGATGTTGTGCAAGAGCACCAGAATGCTTTAATCTACTTTAATTGTGCAAACCTAAATTAGCTGGTATGCAATTAAATCTTTCCCGCAAAATAGTAACAGTCTGGAATGGATCTTAGTAGAACAAGCAAAGTTCTACTGAGACAGGAAGCCCTCTTGTTTTCCTTCCAGCCCAGGCTTGAATAGTCATTCTGGAAGGTACCCGCCCAAGAAGTTGTAGTGATTTTGCTTGCCACATGGCATAATTAGTGGTCAACAGTTCCTGAAATATGTATTTAGATCTAGTTGGATACAAATGTAATCTGGTAAAGCAAGGGAAAAGTCAGTAGGAACAGAATTAGGAAGTGAAGCATTATTATGAGAGCTGAAAGGTTGATCAGAAAACTAGGATCTAATCCAAGTTATAATTTAGCAGCCAAAATTAGTTGCTAGCTCTCTCCTACTTGGCTGTTTGGCACCTATACTGCATTTTTCTGTGTTCTTATAGAAAAGGGGAGAAATGTTTTAAGTTAACAGTGTTGTCCCACATGCATTTGATTTAAACTAGAGTTACAGAAAGGCTACTACAAATATTGTTGTGGAATTATGGTATAAAGAAAAAGAACAGATTATGTTGTAATTGAAACTGTCCCCTCTGCATTTGCAGCTCAGGCCCAGAAGCCTTGAATTGTTTTCAGAGAGAGCAAGTGAAACTGACAGGAAGTTGTTGGTTTTTTTGAGTGATCATGTTGAGTGAAATAGCAACGGCAGGATGGTTAAGGAAAAGAGGTGAAAGGAAGCAGAAATGTAGGTAGGTAGGTAAATGAGAGGTTTGAAGTTGCTCTGGCTGCATTAATCTGACATCTCTTGAGTAACACAAGGAGAACAGTATTGCTTTTTGAAAATGGAATTTTTATACTGTGTCCTTTCTTCCCAGCTTTCTGCATAAGAATAGGATTAATGACATGACTGTTTCTTGACAAAAAGAAAGAACTGTTCCAGTTAAAGAGTATGTTAGCATTCTAACACAGAGAATCAATTTAGGTCAGGTCCTAGAAAATATTGGAGCATTCCTATCTCTCCTTTTAATAAATGTGAAATGAGGATGCTAAGCACTAGACAGAGACAGGTTCCAATATTCCAGACCAGGGTTTGGATAGTAAGTAGAGTGGAGCTGCTTGGTAAAAGTTCAATTTGCCTGAAGAAAAATCCATTAAAAATAGGATTTCACCCTCTCTCTAGGCAGTCAAACTGAGAGGAGGAGCCAATTTCATTCAGCCCAGGTACATTCTGCCTTTGGCAGAATCAGTAGGCTATAGCTCCTTCTGTAAATGTGCCGGCCCATGTTCCCTCCACCTTCCATAGATATTGCCAGCATGTACAGTACTAATCAGGCCATTAAAATATGCTTACATTATCCAGTTTATTACAGAGATTTGTTTTTGCTTTGCACAAGTACACACAATGCCTTTGCTGGTTGCTGGCTGGTCTTTATATGGGCTGATCTTGTCTTCCAAAGATTCATAATACACACATCCTTTGAAGATGTGCTTAAACAGTAGAGTGAAGGAATTCCCTATGGTACTCCCTAAACTCCAAGATACGTTACAGTATTTTGCACCCAGAAATATAAAGACTAGTATATTGTGATGTGCTGCATTCTTGCACTACTCACTGAGGGATAGTCCATTGGCAACTCAAGTGCATCAGATAATGTGGATAAAGCTTCTAAAGAAGAGGCTCAGTGTACTAGAACGAAGCTGCCAGCCGAGACTTCACTTGAAACAATTGCCCTCCTCCTCTCTCCTCAAAACCTCAATAATATGTATTTTACTACTTGTTTTAGCTTACAAACTAATGTCTTAACATCTGTGAAATATAAAGCATTTCATTCATATGTCAGTTTGTGACAGATGCAAGGCATTCGCTGCTTTTTAAAATCAGTGCAGACTTAGCATACAGAGGTGCTAATTAGGAATATAAATAGACAGCAGACAGTTGAGATTGCCCAAAATACTTGATTTTTCTCTTTCCCCCCCCCTTCAAAATCATGCTGTCTACTTCTGTGCATATTGACCTAAGATATCTTATCTGCAATTGACCCCAGTGAATTATAATGAATATAAATGGGAACAGACTACAATAAAAAATTGTAATCTCTCATTTAAGACTGTACAGCTAGTGTCCTCACCTTGTAGGGGAGCTGTGCAAGAGATATCAAAATGAGTTAAAAAGTATAAAATAGCAGAGAGATCAGAAGGGTGCAGACCTGTCCCAAATTTCATCCCTTAAGTTATGTATTTACTGAAAAGAAACATGGAAAAGCCCGGTATATTGAAATAATTCAAAAGCTTAGGAAAAAAGCATTTCGAGAGGCTTACGGTTTTTAAAGGTTGTTTTTTTTTAAAGCAATTTAGGCCTCAGGATTGCAACACTGTCACACATGTTTGCCTTTAAACACTTGGATAGTCTTTGATGGCTTCAGCAGGATTGCTAATAGGATCAAAGTGAATCACTTCCCTTAAGTGTTTGCAGGATGTGGACCCTGGTTGGCAGGATAAAGGCCATTTTATAGATTTATCATTCTTGCAATCACTGACTGTGACTTTAGGTCATAAAAGAATAAAATAATGACTGCTTTGTCCAATAACATGTTGTATTTGGTAAGGTTTTATCTTCATTTCATCCCTATAGAGAACTTCAGCTCATCACTGCCTTTTGACAGGAAAAGGGAGGAATGCTTATGTTTCTAGGAGTCTACAAGACCTGCACACACTTTTTGTTAGCCCTTTTTATTATACATGCACACAACAGATAAAATACTAAGTATTTCACATAGCTTAATAAAACGCCAGACTTTCCACGCATGCCAAGAACAATTTACTGGATGTGATTCTTGCAACATACAGTGATACCTATAGCATTTCTTAGAAAAGAGGTGCCTCTCTGAATGGAGACATCAATTTGTCAAGAAGGGTACCTTTATACAGTTGCAGCTTGTGTGCAAGTGTGCACTGCTGGGTTGTTGGTTTTCCTCTGCTTAGCCTCACAACTATTATTGCTGAGGGTTCTTAAGGTTCAAAGTTACGGAGCTGCTTATACCTGGGAAGTTACTTTATTGGTTCAGGGCACCCAAAAAGGCAGCTTGTCTTCTATAGAAAGTTGGAGTGGGTTCCTGCACTTTTTGTAGTAGAAATAAGCCATGTTTTTTTTATAAAAAAATATTTCGGGGTACTCTCATTTTCCTACTCATATTGAGATACTGCCCCTCAATGAGACCAAACTTAGATTCACAAAATGTTTAGGGGTATGCGAACCCCTGCATGCCCCCAGAAGAAAAGCACTGGATATAAGCTTGGACTTTCTGTTTACAAGGCAGACAATATCGGGGTACTTCTGTATCTGCTAATTGCAAAGTTATCTTTCCAAATTTTGTTAGCTTGAGCGGCTAGCTTGCCATTTTCCTGCTCATTTCTCAAAGTCTCTGCAAGTTAAATTTCTGCTTGGGGAGCAGAATGCATCTTGTCTGTAGTTGCACAGGAATGCATGTACAAGGCAGCCTTGATGTGACGACAGGGGTGTTGTAAGCATTTAGCAGTGTCCCTGTTTCCTTCGCCGACTTGCCGGAGGATTTGCTTGCGTAAAAGAATGTCCCTTCCGTGCTTCTCTTCAAAACACAGACGTCCACTAAGGGGGCAGATTTTGGGGGAGACGCCGAGCGACGGGAGGGGAAGTGCTGCTTTGTGCCGGGGACGTTTATAGCCCAGCGTGGGGATATGGGGAGTGAGCAGTTGCCTCTCGGGCATCCGGCTCCTGGTGGTGTTAGAGGAGGGGCTGAGGGAGATCGCATCAAGCCGGGTGGTATTTCCGGCGCGAAGAAGGAAGCGTGGTAGCAAAAGAAAAAGTCCCGCGTCCCAGACCGCTCTTTGCCGCCCCGTTGCCATGAGAACAGCTTCCTCCCCCTGAACTCTCACCCCGCGCAGGCCGCGGCGGCGCCTGGTCACATGATCGGAGCTAACATGGCGGCGGCCGCTGTTATGGGGAGCTGATTGCAGGTGCCGGGGCCGTTGCCTGCATCCGCCCTCATCCCCGGCCATGCAGAGCGAGAGAAGGGAACCCGGTGGTCGAGAAGAGGTGCGAGCGGGGCGCGTCTGAGAGGCCGGAGCGTCTCTGGGGCCGGAGCCGCTAGGGCAGGAGATGGGGCTTGTTTACATCCGAACGGGGGTTGGGCCATCATCCCTGAGGTGGGAGGGGTCTGCTTATATCCATATCCATAAACTTGGAGGGTGCTTTTTTTTTCATTTAAGGACGAGGCATACCCTCCCTCCCCTCTTCGGGGCCGTGCAGAACGGCTTTGTTTATCTAAGGATGACACCGGGTCCCTGGAGGGGAAAGGCCAGGAGGAGGTTGTTTATCTTTGGTATCTAGGAAATAAGGGCAATACAGGTATACTTGTTCATTTGTAGGGAGATTAATTTATAGCTAAGCCAAAGCTAGGCAGCATGCTGCAGGCTGCTTTTCCCCGTATAGTAGTCTTGTAGGCTGAGGAATTAGAGAGTGGGGAAGTGGTATGGAACCTTGCAAGCAGTTGGGATGAACTACATTTGGGGTGCTGTGGATATCTATATTTGGACAACAGCCAAGTCAGAGGAAATGTGGGTGTATATGTGTTTGAAGAAGTTATCTGGGGAAGATTAAATTGTGGTATTGGTTTGAATTGGTAAATGGAGGCAACGCCCAAAAGGGAAGCTTGTCAGGTAGATGAGAGTGCTGTGGTGGATTTTTCTAATCTAATTCCCCCATACACTCCCCAAGACTGCTTCTTGGAATGGGGTAAATAACTCTGTGGTTTTCTTACCAGCAAGTTCCTAATGCTTTTTTGCTCCTGATCTTCTCTTAACAGACCTTCTTGCGAGTGAGGGCAAACAGACAGACCCGGCTGAATGGTGAGTGCAGCAGAAATCCTGTACCATTTTCCCCCTTGTTCCGAGATGAAGACAAGTATAATGCTTCCTTTCTTTACAAGATTCCTGAACTAAATATGCCCCAAAGGGTTAAAGCTTCAAATCAATCATTTGTATTCCTAACATGTTTTGTTCCTCTCTGAACCCTATCTTAAGTTGCTGCCCCTGGGTTACATTTATGTAGGCCTCCCAATGACATTGCTTTTCAGGCAGCTTGTAAACATGAAATATAATGCAGTAAAACAACAATTGCAGGAAAATATTGTCACCAATGGTAAGAGAGAGAATCATTTACTCAACATTATTAAAAACACACCATGTGGAAGCAGTAGATTACAGTTCAAAACTTTAAATAATCACAGATCTGAAAATGCTTGGGAGAATTATTTTTTTAAAGTATTTTACTTGGCATTGAAATGGCCATCAAGAGGTGGCAAGCAGGCCTCTCTGAGGAGTACAATTGGGGTACCACCACTTCTTGTTAAATGGCCTGGTTGCTATTGCAAAGGAGAAATAATCAATGCCAAGTAGAATAATTATTTTACTGCTTGCCTTTTTAAAAATAATGATTTTCTTATGGGTGTAATGAGATTATAGTCTTTTTCCCCCAATGGCATTGTTTTCACTTGCTTACCTGCTATAATCTCCAGCTGTCAACAATACCTGCTTACAGCTAAAAAAATACATACAACTATAATTCCTGTTTGTTTCATTTATTACAACTTTTTTTTAATTCCACCTTTCTTTCAACACCCTCTCCCAATGCTGTTTTGAAACAATGTGCAGGATAAAGGCCTTTAATATCTCATCTGGTTATATGGACCTGATACCTCAGTAATTTGCAACTTGGAGCTGAACCTAACTATTACTACTGTGTATGTAATAGCAGATTCCATAATTTTTGGTCTTAGGATAGACCTGCCTTCAGAGAAGTAATTAATTCAAGATGTATTTTGTAATTTTTATCCATAGTACGTAAAACACAGTGAATTGTCACTAAGCAGGAATAATTTTTCAAATATTTTATATAGTGACCCTTTATTTTAATTGATTCTACTTCCACTGCCAGTGAACAGAAAAACATGTACTTTTATCATCTTTAATTTGGTCAAGAGTAAAGATTATGAAAATTCATCCCTGAAAAGTTAAGAGCAACTTTAAATTATCCTGACAGTGCAAGAGGAAATTTTCCTTGAATTCTTGAATGCCAGCAAGATTCAGAGCTGTAACATACTATGTTGGATAAAAGAAGAGAGCTCTTGAATTAATGAGGACTGTGCACTATGTAGTGAATACACGTGATCTGACTTTCACATACACAACTACAATATATTTCTGCTACTAAATAATTCTGGGATATGATTAATGAATACAATTGCAGTATTCTATTGATCATTTTGCAAACATTCCCTTAGGGCACTTGGAGCTATTACTGGAAATGATTATTGCAGAAATGCTAATATTTTTCAAAAGAACATGATCGTTTTTGAAAGCAGACCTAGGTTTTGCCAAATATATTGTATGTTGGCTGTATTTGGACATAATGCTAAACCAGCATTCCCCAACTGGTTGCCTCCAAATGCTTTCAACTTCATTTGAAGGGGCATGAGTCCTGGGCAACCTGTTGTTCATTCTCACAATGCTAAAGTGTGGTTTAATATTGCATCTAAACCATTTCATTGTTTCTGTGTTAGATCATTGTGAGTGTTTGGTGTCCCATCATAAACACATCACTTGCTCTTCCTCATTATCTTTACTAACTGCTGTGTTGTGTTAGTTGTATATCTTGTGGTATTTGAAGAACAGCTAAAGTTATAGGATAGTTGGGAGTCTAAAATCAGCAAGGAAAAGACAGGAGCTTGGGTCTTAAGTTCTACAGTGCTTTGATTTTGCTTTGATTTGTTAAGTCACATAACATACAAGATTCACATTCCTCTTTCAGTCCCTCACCCCACCTTTTCTATGTACCTGAACACCATTACAGTTTCATTCTTTGGAATACTGTTATTAGTCAAGCAGAACTAGCCCAGCCATAAGCTTAAGTAACAAGAATGATTATCTGCCTAGGATTAGCAATATATGAGTAGTTCAGAATCCTTCGGTTGGAGATTGCTTTACACTTGCTAAACAACTTAATCAACTCTTGTATTTTTGTTCATCCTTCCTTCAGGTTATTTTTAGTCTAGATTGGCACTTTCTGTAGACATAGGCAGTTCATTTGGCCAAGCAGTTCAGATGGCCAAGCATGCAAAAGGAAGGGAGATAGTAGTAATGGGGGACTTCAATTACCCGGATATTTGTTGGATGTCAAACTCAGCCAAGAGCATAAGGTCAAACAGATTCCTCACTGGCCTTGCAGACAACTTCATTGTCCAGAAAGTGGGAGAAGCAACAAGAGGAACAGCCATTTTAGATCTGGTCCTAACCAAAGTTGATGACCTGGTTAGTGGGGTAGAAGTGGAAGGATCATTAGGCGCGAGTGATCATGCTCTTCTGAAGTTTACTATACAACGGAAAGGAGCAGCCAAGCATACTAGGACTCAATTTCTTGACTTTAAGAAAGCCGACTTCATAAAACTTAGGGAAGTGCTGGGTGAGATCCCATGGACAATAATACTAAAAGGAAAGGGAGTTCATGATGGCTGGGAGTTTGTTAAGAGGGAGATAGTAAAAACACAACTTCAGGCAATACCAATGAGACGGAAACATGGAAGGTGCCTAAAGAAGCCAGGGTGGCTATCTAAAGAACTTTTAACTGAGTTAAGATTAAAAAAGGATGTGTACAAAAAATGGAAAAGGGGGGAAACCACCAAAGAGGAATTCAAACAAATAGCCAGCACATGTAGACACAAAGTCAGAAAAGCTAAAGCACAGAATGAACTCAGGCTTGCTAGAGAGGTTAAAAGCAACAAAAAAGGCTTTTATGGGTATGTCCGTAGCAAAAGGAAGAACAAAGAAACAGTGGGGTCACTCAGAGGAGAAGATGGTGAAATGCAAACAGGGGACACAGAAAGGGCTGAACTCCTCAATGCCTTCTTTGCCTCAGTCTTCTCCGATAAAGAAAAAAATGCCCAACCTGAAGAATTTGGAGCAAATGATTCAGCAGAGGAAACACAGCCCAGAATAACTAAGGAGATAGTACAAGAATACTTGGCTAGTTTAGATGTATTCAAGTCTCCAGGGCCAGATGAACTGCATCCAAGAGTATTAAAAGAACTGGCAGATGTGATCTCAGAACCACTGGCAGTCATCTTTGAGAATTCCTGGAGAACAGGCGAAGTCCCGGCAGACTGGAGGAGGGCAAATGTTGTCCCTATTTTCAAAAAGGGGAAAAGAGAGGACCCAAATAATTATCACCCAGTCAGTCTGACATCAATACCAGGGAAGATTCTGGAGCAGATCATTAAGCAAACAGTCTGTGAGCACCTAGAAAGGAATGCTGTGATCACCAATAGTCAGCATGGATTTTTGAAAAATAAGTCATGTCAGACTAACCTGATCTCATTTTTTGACAGAATTACAAGCCTGGTAGATGAAGGGAACGCAGTGGATGTAGCCTACCTTGATTTCAGCAAGGCATTCGACAAGGTGCCCCATGATATTCTTGTAAAGAAGCTGGTAAAATGTGGTCTTGACTATGCTACCACTCAGTGGATTTGTAACTGGCTGACTGACCGAACCCAAAGGGTGCTCATCAATGGTTCCTCTTCATCCTGGAGAAGAGTGACTAGTGGGGTGCCACAGGGTTCTGTCTTGGGCCCGGTCTTATTCAACATCTTTATCAACGACTTGAATGATGGACTCAAGGGCATCCTGATCAAATTTGCAGATGACACCAAACTGGGAGGGGTGGCTAACACCCCAGAGGACAGGATCACACTTCAAAACGACCTTGACAGATTAGAGAACTGGGCCAAAACAAACAAGACGAACTTTAACAGGGAGAAATGTAAAGTATTGCACTTGGGCAAAAAAAATGAGAGGCACAAATACAAGATGGGTGACACCTGGCTTGAGAGCAGTACATGTGAAAAGGATCTAGGAGTCTTGGTTGACCACAAACTTGACATGAGCCAACAATGTGACACGGCAGCTAAAAAAGCCAATGCAATTCTGGGCTGCATCAATAGGAGTATAGCATCTAGATCAAGGGAAGTATTAGTGCCACTGTATTCTGCTCTGGTCAGACCTCACCTGGAGTACTGTGTCTGGTTCTGGGCACCGCAGTTCAAGAAGGACACTGACAAACTGGAACGTGTCCAGAGGAGGGCAACCAAAATGGTCAAAGGCCTGGAAACGATGCCTTATGAGGAAAGGCTAAGGGAGCTGGGCATGTTTAGCCTGGAAAAGAGGAGGTTAAGGGGTGATATGATAGCCATGTTCAAATATATAAAAGGATGTCATATAGAGAAGGGAGAAAGGTTGTTTTCTGCTGCTCCAGAGAAGCGGACACGGAGCAATGGATCCAAACTACAAGAAAGAAGATTCCACCTAAACATTAGGAAGAACTTCCTGACAGTAAGAGCTGTTCGACAGTGGAATTTGCTGCCAAGGAGTGTGGTGGAGTCTCCTTCTTTGGAGGTCTTTAAGCATAGGCTTGACAACCATATGTCAGGAGTGCTCTGATGGTGTTTCCTGCTTGGCAGGGGGTTGGATTTGATGGCCCTTGTGGTCTATTCCAACTCTATGATTCTATGATTTATCTTTTTACTTTGGGGTTCCACTGAACTCTTGGGATAGAAATCTGTCATTGAGGCTGTATTTTCCCACACCACTGTTTCCAAAGTCTCTCTCTTTGTAGTCTTTTACAAGGACTTGGTCAAGATGTCTTTGAAAATCCAGGTGTGGTAAAATTCTCTTTGCAGATCCTCCCCTTCAACTAACTCATTTTTTTTTTTTTTGAAAAATCAGTAACTCTTCCAGCAACACAGAGGTTATTGTAAAGAGAATAGAAATCAACTGATCTCTGCCGAGTGGAGGAA